AAATCAGATGTGAGCTTTCTATATTAGATGAGCTCACCAGAAACCCTAATATTTCCACACGTAAATGCAAAAAGATCAAGCGGAAATATAACATTAAATCCCTAAATGATATTCCATCAATCAAGGAAATGCTGAAGCAGAAACTTCAGTTAAAGGCGCAGAGAACAAGACGATACGAAAAACGTTGTAGGTTCTATAGCCAAAATAAAATATTAACAGATCTTAAGAAATTTTACAGGGAATTTGGAAAAACACCTATACATGTCGAAAGGCCACCATCGATTGATAATGTACAGACATTTTGGGAAAATATTTGGAGCAGCCCAAAGGAATATAACCCAAATGCAGAATGGATATGGCGTGAAGAAGAACGACTGCTGGATACACCTCTGCAAGAATGGGAAAATATATCCACAGATGATGTTAGGCAAGCTCTAACGAAATCCCAAAAATGGAAATCCCCAGGAAATGACAAGTTGCCCAATTTCTGGCTGTATCATCTCACATCTACCCATGAAATTCTTGCAAAAACATTATCAACGCTTGTAAATAATCCCAGTAAAATCCCGGAATGGATTACTGAAGGTATTACACACCTCATACCTAAAACAACCGAAAAATTATAGACCGATAACATGTCTCTCCACTCTCATAAATAAAATGATCCTGGAAAATTGCAGGAGACGACGCAGGAATCTAAGTGCAGCGTGGATTGATTATCGTAAAGCCTTTGATAGTGTTCCACATTCTTGGATCCTTAAGACTTTGGAAATGTACAGAGTCTCCCCTGTGGTATTAAATTTCCTTAAACACAGCATGGGAATATGGAAAACCAAACTATACCTTAGTCACACCGGGGCACTGCCGTATCCAACCATCTGAATATCCGACGTGGAATCTTTCAAGGAGACTCGCTGTCACCCCTTCTGTTTTTTTTATCCTTAATCCCTCTTACACATGAACTGAACAACAGTAGCTATGGTTACAAAATAAATAAGAAAATATTCAATCACCTACTCTACATGGATGATCTCAAACTCTTTGCCAAAGACGACAATGAGTTGAAAGGCCTCCTCAATATTGTAAAATACTTCAGTGACGACATAGGTATGAACTTCGGATTAGATAAATATGCAAAAGTAACTTTCAAGAAAGGTAGAATTACAGAAACACCCTTAATAGATTTAGATTTTGTCACAAAGATTAGGGAACTGGAGCATGATGAAGCTTATAAGTACCTAGGAATTAGCGAAGGAGATGGCATACAACACCCCCAAATGAAGGAAAAAATAAGAAAAGAGTACTACAGGCGTGTACGTCTGGTACTGAATACTGAGCTAAACTCAAAAAAGAGGATATCAGCCATAAACACATTGGCTGTCCCTGTGGTGCAATACAGCTTTAATGTCCTTAACTGGACCATAGCTGAAATTAAGCGAATGGACGCCAAAACGAGAAAGCTTCTCACTTGCTATCGCATGCATCATCCGAAAGCTGATGTTGATCGTCTTTATGTGCCCAGATCCGAAGGAGGCAGAGGATTAGTTCAACTAGAACTGTCCTACAAAACTACAACAATTGGCCTCCAAAGATATTTGGAAACTACAGAAGATTGGATGATGGTATGCGTCAAGGAACATGAAAATAGTAAGCGTCTTTACTCCGTAATGAAAGAAGCCAACAAATTCAAAATGGAGTTTCAAATGGGCGTAGAGATGCAACTACAGCACAATACACCAGCTGAAACTGCAAAATACCTAAAAAAGACTGCAAAGACGAATACAGCCGACCAGTTACAGAAGCGATGGCAAGATAAACCGCTTCATGGCCAATACTCTGCCCGTACCAAACAAGCTGACGTAGACAAAACCCGTACCCATCAGTGGCTACGTAGTGCAGGGTTGAAAGCGGAAACTGAAGGTTTTATCCTTGCTGCGCAGGACCAATGCTTGCTAACTAGGAATTATCAAGCACATATACTAAAATATTGTGTCAGCCCAAAATGCAGATTCTGTGATAAATATCCAGAAACGATTGATCATCTTGTATCAGGTTGCACGATGTTGGCACCCACTGAATATAAAACCCGACATGACAGAGTAGGCCAATATCTGCACTGGAAAATCTGCAACTTCTACGGGAAGGAAACTGAAAGAAACTGGTATGAACACCACCCAGACCCGGCTACGGAGATAGGACCTGTTACAATTCTATGGGACTACACAATACACACTGATAGAACAATCAAGGCCAATCGGCCAGATATTGTTATTAAAGACCACAAACAAAAACGGTGCCTCCTTATTGACATGGCATTCCCTGCTGACTGCAATGTATCTTTGAAGATATTCAAAAAGTTGTCAAAATACAAGGACCTTGAAATAGAAATCTCGAAAATGTGGCATATGGGAACATCAATAATCCCTGTTGTAGTTTGAGCTCTAGGACTAGTTGGAAAAGATTGCAGTAGACTAATTGAAGGGATTCCTGGAAGTCCATGCCTCAAGGAGATACAAAAAATTGTTCTGACAAGTACAGCCCACACCTTACGAAGAGCTTTATCTATGTAATTTAATTTTTTTATCTTCTTTTTTTTGTCAGTGGAAAGTGTCATGACGCCATTTCTAACCTTAGGTCCCTGGGCGGGACACGGAAAGAAATGTTTAAACGCCATAAATCAAAGAAAATAAAAAAAAAAAACAATAATAATAATAATATCTTCAAAAACTATCAAAATGCAAGGATCATGAAGTGGAAATCTCCAAAATATGGTACACGAGGAGATCGATTATTTGTATTTGGAGCCATAGGATTGATTGCAAAAGGTTCCGACAGACTCATTGAAGGGACACCTCCTAGCCCATGCCTTAAAGAAATAGAAAAAGTTGTACTCACAATTATAGCTCACACATTACGAAGAGCTTTATCGATGTGAAATTTGTGTGATGTTAGTTATTTTTTTTACGAAAATGATTAGTGGAAAATGGCTTATATCTCTGGTTAAGACCAGAAACCAAAGAAAATGATAATAGCCCAAGAAATGCACCGAACTCCGGATTGAAGTTGCTAGAATGTGGGATGCTCCGGCCACTATTGCCATAGTAGATCATGGGACGTTTGGGTCTATACCAGAGAATTTAATGTCCAACATTAAGACAATTTCTTCAGAAGTCTGCGTTGGTTTGTACTGTAAATATTCGGCGCGATTTGCTCTCTTTCTGAAGTCGTACGACCTGATGAAGAACGCCATACGGAAAGGTCTCCAACTGAAAAAGAAAACCGTGCGAAAGATAACAGCAATAATAATAATAATAATAATAATAATAATAATAATAATAATGTTAAAGTTGTCATATAACATATATATGCAAGGAAATGCTGAAAATCTCTAGCTTAGTCCACTTTCCAAAATCTGAATAATCAAGCAGAATTTTTGGGCCGGTTTCACGACACTCCTTCCTAGACAGCAGTTGCATATAAGCAAACGTCATTATATCATTGAGATTTTACATTTAATAAAGACATATCCGTTTAAAATTCTTACCAAAAAAGATAAAAACGACAAGCAAAATAAGTAAGAGCCAATGTGTCATGTTCTCGGAAGTTTCAGCCCAAAAGCAGAATGAGCTAGCGTCAAATAGCATTCTCGTAGGGGATTCCAATTCTAACTGCGAACTATATAGTTGTAAAACGCATTAATTAGAGAACGGAACTACACTATAATGAGCGTCCACCAAGAGCGTTCATTGGTAAACTAAATGCCATTCATATGATAATAAATTAGGTATATACTGAGTGCACCTCAAAATTATTGGCCTGGGTCAAACATGTGAACACTTAGTAAATATATACACTGTAAAGCGTTGGTGAAGAAGTTGTTCTTGTAATTAATATCTAGTTTTGCAAGCGCGTTTTTCACCATGTCTCATCATGGTGGGTTTGTGTTACGAAAAAAGGGTTTGAATGCATAAACATTTAATCTGTTTCACTTTCTCATTGTCCTCCATTTCCATGGTTTTTTTTTGTTATTTTTTTACTCTTTTTTTCACATTTCATTTCCCAAATTTTCTTTCTTACTTCCAATGTGTGTAACGCGCTGCTAGTAATGTGGAGTATTTTCACAGCATTAGTGGAGTTTTTTTTATCACTCCGTTGTAAATATTATCGATATATCATTCTTTTTTCTTTCTTTTTTTTAAAAACTTTCTTTAATATATTGTTACGCTAGCAGTATAACCCGTCTTCGACTGGGTCTTTCATTATTGGGAATTTTTGCCGTTCAATTGGAGCAGTTTAAGTTTAAATCAGCCCATCCGAAAACCAATATTAGTAACAAAAATAGCGTACAACTGAGGCACATCCCTAAATGGTGGTGGTGGTGGGGGGGTAACAATCTGAATGCGGGGCGGGGGTATTCCTGTAAAAGGCCGATTTTGCGTTCTCAATCTTGCAGTAAGGAAACTCTTGCAAGGACTGTCAAAATAATAATATATGATAATTTTATAATATAATTTTTTTCATAATTCTAATGATCTTTTCCGTTAGATTTCAATTCTCTAAATTGAGTGTGCGCTGTTTTTTTACAGACATTGAATTTTCTCTTTGATTTTTGCGCCAAGTGTAAATAATCAGTTTTTTCGATTTTTCACATTCAAGGTTATAATTTTTTCTAGCAAATTTGGACTCAAAACCGACGAATTATCTATTAAACAAACAAGAAAACTGTGAAAACGTACAAAAAGCATCCGACCACACACACACACAGACACACACAGACACACACGCACGCGCGCGCACGGACATACATGCACATTGCACCCACAAATTTTGAGAATTATAGATATCAATGTCGTTTTTATCACTATACCTCTCACGGATATACAGGAACTTCCATTGTTGGCTATTTTTCCTGATATTTCCCACAATTCCTTTCTCATTCTTTTTAAATAGAGTGAAATTAGTACACGCAGTGTCTTTCATTTTTATCAGTAAGAAAAATAATGAACGCATCGATCTTTGATCATCTTGACTTTTTCTTTATCTTTCATTTTCACGATTTCTTCCTCTTTTTCCTATCTTTTTTCTCAAATTTTCTTTCTTACTTCAAGTATGAGTGACCTTCTGTCAGTAGTGTGGAATAGTTTCACAGTATTAGTGATGTAGGGATTTAATCATCCGATTGAAAATATCGATATATCATTTAGTCTTTGATTTTCTTGTTATATATGATGGAGAATGCTCTTTTTGGTTTGTATAGGATAAATAAAAATGAAAGAAAAAAAGAACTTATTTTGAAAAATAAAATGTTCTCATAATAATGTTCACCCAATGCAAGACCCAAGAGCCACTCAAGATAAAGGGTTACTGTCTGGTGTTGCATGAGTATAAGAAAAGGCAAGAATTGAAGTCCATGGGGTCATGCCGGAATGACAACTGCCAACTGTATACAAAAATGACTTAAAAGGACAGACTGACCAAAATAAGGAAACTATATTGGAAAATTTTAATTTATCTACAGAAAGAACTATTTAAAAAATACTTGCTTATTATTGCATATTTAAACTAACTAAAAAAAAAAGGATGTCTCAAAAACTGAGAAAGAAATGAAAGAAAAATCACACCGTTAATGTTCAGGATTACTTTCACACCCAGGGCCGGATTTTAATGGCTACTCCACTTGTAAGGCCCCTCCAAATCCTCCATTCTCACGAATAGAGCAAAATGGAAGAGTGTTAAATTAAACAATTTATGTAAAGGCGAAGATAATGATGGGTGTTTAAAATTACTGAAGGTTTGTTTAGAGTCTACAATGCGTTATGACAGCATGTGTAAGAAAGGCCTATGATAACAGTGTCAAAAATATAATACAACTTAGCTGGAGGCCCTCTGGTTATTGAGGCCCTAGGTTTCAGTCGGCTAAGCCTATAGGAAAATTCTGCACTGTTCACACCCCTAAAAACTGTTTTTAGTTCGAACAAATATTATGACTAACACCAGAAACCCCTTGTAATAGATGGCAGAAGTATTTAGAAAGCTACTTAACTCATCATGAAAATGTGACTTCCCCGTAGTTAAATATTCAGGAAAAAAATAATAAGATATTCAAACACGACTTAGTGTTAATATAGCGTAGACAAGGGAAAATTAAGACAACACATTCATTGTTTTTTTTGCTCATTTTTTTTTTAAATTTCAATATATTATATGTCGATTTTATCACTCTTCCTCCCACTCCGACAAAGAAACGAACATTGCGATCTTATATTACCCACAATTCCTTTCTCGTTATTTTTGAGAGTGTTGTATTAGCACACAGTTTTTTTTTTAATCTTTATCTCTTCTTAATGCTTTAGAGTGTAAAATATTGAATGAAAGTGAAATAGGCGTGTTGAGTTCAAATTCAGGATTAGTCTGTTGCGTTCACTTCATATCTATTCTTTCACAAACTACGAGTTAAATAACAGGACTGCACTTTTCAAGCCATTGGTCTTGCTAGAAGAATGACTATTATTATTTCAAAACCACGGAAAAGGCCCCGGGAAACCACTCTACCATTTTTCCTTAAGAATCAAGGCAATTCATATATAATCTTTCTTTCTTTCTTTCTTTCTTTCTTTAGATTAAGACTCTTTACATATTTCACTTTTCTTTCTTTCTCCTATTGGCCTCTTTGTTTTTAATCTCTTTCTTTCTTTTTCTTTATTGCGTTCAGATTTCTTTTTCTTTCTTTTCACATTTTCTTTTCACATTTTCTTTTCTTTCTTTCTTTTTCTTTCTTTCTTTCTTTCTTTCTTTCTTTCTTTCTTTCTTTCTTTCTTTCTTTCTTTCTTTCCATACATTCCCACACTTTACACTTTTCTCTTTTTTTCTTTCTCTCTCCTATAAATTCTTTTCACTTTCTTTCTTTATTTCTTTCCATGCATAAACACTCTTTACTCTCTCTTCTTTTTTTAGCATACGTTCAGTCATTTTATATTCTTACTCTCCTTTTCTTTCATTTTCCTATTTCTCTCTATGTCCATTTCTCTCTCTGCTTCTCTCTCTCTTTCTCTATTTCAGCTTCTCAATCTCTTTCTCTCTCTTTCTCTTTGTAAAGTTAACTCAAGAATTCCAAACGGGAACTCTGCATGCAATCATCTGCTCTTAGGAAAGCGGGAAATGTCACTCATTTCAGACATTGAATGAAATGATATTTCACGGATCAAAACGTCCATATATATCAATATAAATTTGCTAATGACTTACGCTTTCTCTTGTATGCATTTTCCTTCCTTTTTATTTCCTTTTTTTTTTTTTAATATTTTCTTTCTTCATTATTTTGTCATATTTTACCAATCTAACATAACATGATGGAAGAGGTAAACTTTTCTTCCAAAACAACATCGAAATTGCAAGTACATTTGGGTAAATTAGAAACAGGAAAAGTTACACCCTTTTTACACACTTCATAAAGTTCCTGATTTGATGAGGCGAGATATTTGCTCCTAATTGACTTAATGATCAACGAAATTTCGAAACAATTTTTGATCTGATGTCTCTGTTCAGTATCTAACTAATAGCCCACAGCGTTATGAATAATAAATAAATCTATGTTTCTAAATGGAGCATCGCCTTGTCGGTTGGGGATAAAGAATAGCCCGATTGTATTCCTGTGCAGAAAGATAAACTGTCTGCCATAAAATCGGCTCACCTGTTCACTGTACTTATGTCTCTAATGCAAACCAAACTATTGTCTACCTTTCTGATTCTCGTGCAAAACAGTGCTATTTTTGATTCTTGTGAAAACGAAACACACGTGTAGATTTCCATGGATTATCAAAACGACAGAATTCTACTGTAAATGACCAGGGAATGGCTGACGTACCGTAAACCAAACCGAACCAAACTAAATAAACCAAATAAGTATTAATTCCTTGAGTGTAGTAGATATAAAATCTAAAGATAAAAATGCCAATTACATATGTACGGGAAAATGGGGAAATTTATGAAGACACTCTGGTCGCTCTTTAAATAACCTCGCTCTTCTACAAAAAATGATGTTTTTTTTTTCTTAATTGTTTCATCGCAAACAAGGCAATAATGCCACTAAGATGCAAGAAGTTACTGGGAAAGAGAATAATAAAACATTTAGACGAATGAACCGGAAACACAATCGTAAACAGGAAACAAAAGATAAACCCCTATTCAATGTTCGAAAGATGGGGAAGGGCGATAGGCGAACCTGTCTACTCCTATTTATCAATTGCTTTATATAAAGGAAGTAGTGAGTCGTAAACAATTCCGCACAACTCATAGCTTAAACTGCCTTAGGTTTTTAGATATAACTTATTGGGTTTAGCAGAAAAATATCCGTCATTCAATTTTTTTAATGATGGCTTCATAAGTAGAATTACCATGGAAATAAATCTGATTTGATCTTGTTCTTTAGGATTTTAGCAAAAAATATCTAAACGTGACGAATGCATTTATATCGGTATACAATTTCAGAACAAAATTACAACCTAAGAAATAGTGATCCTTGAGCGATCACTTTTTGGTTAGATATCGCTTAGCCTACTATAGAAAAAAATGACCGCTGCTCAACGTTAAGAATTTCAAAATCCTATAAATTACTTCTCGTGAATACAATGCTGGATGACCTATGAAGAAAAAGCTACCAAATGTTGACTGTGGTTATCTTATTTTCATTAAAACTAACTTAGAGGGATATATAATTCTTTTTCTTAATTTAGAATGTATTTTATTAACCCTGGAAGACAATAATTTAAACCTCAGTCTTTTTAATTATAGTTCTTGATATCATGAGTATGTGTGAAGTTATCATTATTTACGCTATTAACATGCGATCTATTATCATGTGGTTGTTATCACAACGTTTCGGCAGTTGAGCCTCAAGCATGACAAGCAGCAGAAGCAGTCGAACACATCAGTAGCCAGGTTAAGTTTAAGGCTCCGAGTTCTGCACGGAAACAATAGCATAGTTGATTAGAGCGTCGGTTCTTGTTTTCTGTAACAGTAATTATGAGAGCAATATATTATACAGTTATATTTAATTTTTGGACTATGCTGAAACATGTTATACTTAATTTTCGAATAAATATGAACTTAGTTAATTTTTTGACAAATCTACAACATTTTTATACTTAAATTTTTGGACTCTTCTGAGCATTTGATTACGCTGTATTGCAGCTCATCAGTGTTGCTAGACATCCGCTCGCTGCAAGCCGGGACCGAAACCTCACCGATTTTTCACAGAGAGAAAGGCGAATTTCTTCGTATTTATTTTTTCATAAAAACGTCAGTGACCTAGAAATTTCAATCGTGTGTATATGTGTGTGTTTTAAATATACAATCCTATATACCGGACTAATAGTGCATAACAATGAAAAAAAAAAAAACTCCTATATAACGAGTTTCGTCTCTAAAAGGAACTTCGACAGACTGATAATTTTTTGGAATCATTCCTGTATTTTTGCCGACGTGTGTTAGTTCCGAAATTAGCAGACATCCGCGAAATGCATCGTGAAAAAAAACAACAACTTTTCCATTTCGTCTCATTTTCTCCACTTTTGGTTTTGATACTACTATACATACATACATGCATACACACACACACACACACACACACACACACACACACATATATATATATATATATATATATATATATATATATATATATATATATATATATATATATATATATACCCAAGTATATGATTGGTATATACGGAATGAATTCCAATAACCAACAAATACTATTACTTGTATACTTGTATTTTGATTGGTCCATCTAGCTTTTGTAACAACGGTTTCCCCTTGTGAATGATTGTTAAGTAATTCGAAACTTTTAAAACCATTTATTTTACATTCAACATCATCACTTGATAAGACACTGAGAGTGTTGAAACAAAATGGCTATTTTTGTAGTGATTTTATAACATATTTATCTTATAAATTTTTTTTAAATAAATAATTATATATATATATATATATATATATATATGCAGTTGGAAGATGTACGCCCAGAATTAGAAAAAACATATCTCTTTCTGGACAAAACTATTGTTTATAAAACGTTTGATATTTAAAGCCGATGCGATAAAAATCAAAATAAAAGCGACAGAAAACTAAATTGACGCTGACTAGGTTATACATGTAGATACACCGGATATCAGAATATTTGAAATTCAAATGTAAAACTCAGCGTCACTTCATATTTAGCATTTTCAACGTAAACTTGTAAACTGATATCCATACAACGGAATATGTTAGCTCTGTCAGATATTGAGTGCTTTCCACTAAGTACTGCACATACAAAATAATATATATATATTTAAATTTAAATTCAAACTTAGCGTTGCGACAGCTCGCTCCAAAAATAATAACTCATTTCTAATAGCATTTTTCGGATTACAACAGTACATATATTTTCGTTGTCCTCTTATTACTGAGAGAAAAAACAAGAACAAAATCTATTCCATACCTGAGGATGTCTGTATGAACAGACGAAAGCTTGTAAAAATAATAAGAACTCATGCAACAGGAATTTATAAAAACAAGGAACTTTTCATTCATAACAGATTCGGGGTTTTTGTATATTATTTGAATTGTTCGCGACGATGGATTTTTCGCCAATTAAATCATTAACCTTTGTATTTGTTTTTTGTTTGAATAATTCATGAATATATATATATATATATATATATATATATATATATATATATATATATATATATATATATATATATATATGGTCAAACCAGTTACAGCATATTACATTGCATTTAAACATATGGTTCTGTTGATAACATTTCTTTCTCTCACGTGGTCATGTACGACGCCATAGAACCGCATTATGAATTTACTACCTGCCTCTGCTATTCCGCCATTGTTATCGCCGCATAGCAAACTATTATGTCATCTTCGACTGTGAACATCTCTGTTCTAATGCCCATATAACCACTCTAATGATAGTTCATGTGAGCTGAAAGCTTAGGTCGATTACTAATATAATAAAGATATATCCAAATTTTGGCCATTTTTTGTCTTTATTTTCTCTTGAAACTAAAGCCATTATACGACGCTTGGAATGGCTCATGATAACACATAAGAGACATTCGTTGTCCATTTAACAATATATATATATATATATATATATATATATATATATATATATATATATGTGTGTGTGTGTGTGTGTGTGTGTGTGTGTGTGTGTGTGTGTGAAAGTGTATATAAATATAAATAAATATATATATGTATAATTATTTATATATTATATGCACGGTACTTATTAGAAAGCACTCAATATCAGAGATAGAGCTAACATATTTGGTTGGATAGATGTCTATCCAACCAAATACACACACACACACACACACACACATATATATATATGTATGTATGTATGTATGTATGTATATATATGTATAATTTATTCGAAAATTATAGCAAAAATATGTTATAAAATTATTACAAAAATACCCATTTTGTTTCAACACTTCTGGTGTCTTATCAAGTGATGGTGTTGAATGTAGAATAAAGAGTTTTAGAAGGTTCAAATCGGCCAAATACCCCACGATAGGAGAAACTCTGTTATATAAGCTGCAATGACCAAACTAAATACAAGTACAAATTGAAAATTAAAAATTATCAATTTTAAATTTAAAATTTAATCGGTGTTAAGTTTAAAATATTTTAAAACTATTTAAAGAAGAAACTGAGGAAAAATACATATTTTGTTATTTATTTTGTTTTAATTGAAAGGCCAATAACTCAGAATAAACGTTAAAATCTAATATTGATGCAAAGCTTCATTATAACTTAGATACATTTGAAGTGGTGATATGGGCAGGGGAGGATGAAATCTTGCAAAAGACAATACATACACAATCCGATTATAATACACAATCACGTAGACATATTTAGATATATAAACACACAAAAATATTTCTAAGCAAACATGATAGATAGATAGATAGATAGATAGATAGATAGATAGATAGATAGATATAGATAGATAGATTGCCTGTTAGTAGGCTGAAGTATTGTTTGAACAAAAGTGGGGAGATTAGACAAAGTGAGAAAGTGT